GGGTTGGAAGGGACCTCAAATCCCACCCACTGCCACAGGCAAGGACTCCTCCCATTAGACCAGGTTGCTCCAAGCCCCATCCAACAAGGCCTTGAGCATCTTGGAAAGGAAGGAAAGTGTCTGTTTGGTTGGACTTGTATTTCTCTTGGTGGTTCACACAGGAGGACAGAGATTTAGGAATGAGACAAAAGTGAGACAGAAGTCCTGAGAAGAGAGTCTTTGAAAGTTTGATGTTTTTCTGAATGTGCAGGGGCTGGTGGGGTCGGTGTGCCTGTGGAATGGCATGTGCAGGTACAGTATTGTGTGACAGAGAGCTCCTTGTGCAATAAAGAGAAAATCCTTAATCTCTCTCCTCTGCTGCTTCACACCTTTGTGTAACTAAGGTGGAGGGAAGAGCTTCAGAAATGAGAAATTTAAAAGTCACAGTCACATATTTTTTTAAGGAAATATTTGGATAGTTTTTTGGAAAATGGCCTTGATCTTAGAGGTCTTTTCCAATCTTTGTGGTTCTAAAATCGAGTTAAAATAGGAAATTTTTGGAGTAAAAGCAACTGTATTTCTTCAAGAGGGGATATTCCCTGTTAGGTTTTTACATCCCTCATTAATGGCAAGGGAGTTGGGATTTATGTGGCTCATTCTAGATATTTGGAAGTTGTCAGTCTTGGCCAGGCACAGAATTCCAAGAAAGGGGCTCATCCTGCTGCAGTAGCACTGTTTGTGCTGTGCTGGCTTTTCCCCTGCCTGTCCTGCCCAGCTGTTCCCAAAAGCAGCCTGGACAACCAGGGGTGAGCTTCTCCACCTGCATTTTATCTGATGGCTGGTTGTTCCAGTTTCTATCCTGGTGGCTCAAAGCAGCCTTTAACCTACCGTTGCTCAGGTCTGGATTTTCCATGTGTGTCCCAAGCATGCTGGTTGTCACCTCTGCTGAGCAGAGCTTCGGGCAGTCTGTTCTCCATGCTCCCTTGTGGGTTTGCTATGTGTGGAATTCAGTGAGGAGCAGCAGCCCAGGTGCTCTGAGCCATTGTCCAGCCCCAAGGCCTGGCCTGTGGGACCTGCACCCCACTGCTGTATTTTGGGAAAATGCCAATGCTAGACGGGGGCTTGCTGGGAGGCCTCATGCCCCGGGCTGAACAAACACTTCTGGTTCCAATAACGTGCTAATAAAATAAAATAAAATAATACACAACACAAGCAAGCCTCTCAAAGCCCAGAGAGGGAACATTACAAAATATTAAAAAAGAAAACCCCACCCAGCAAGATGATAGGAAAGGAAATATGCCTCATGTGAGGATTAATCAAAATGTTTTTCAGAATGAGAACTGTAGAATTTCTGCTTCCTCTTAATGGCAGAGAATTAAGCAGTTAACGAGCCCTCAGAGATGCAATAAACCTTTCAAACCAGCTGAGAGGTGCTTTGGAAGGACTTGAATTAATTCCTTTGGCTGCTGTGATGATGAAATGTGCTGGAGTCCCCTTTGGTGAGGCATCCACATTTCCAGCCCTCTGCGTTTGTCTCCTGGAAGCACCTGATGTTGGAGGGAAGGAGGGAGGGGTCATTGTTTCAGAGTGGGAGGCATGTGCAGTGTCCATGCACAGCTGGGTGTTCCAGGCAGCACCTGGCAGTGCATTTCAGCTGCCTGCAGCTGAGACAGCAACTGCACTGCTGGGAGGTTTTCTGGAGTCCTGCCTGAAGACCCCACGGCTCAGAAAAGGACTAAAGTCCCACTGAGGATCAGTGATTTTTGTTACTTGCCTGAGAATGTGGCACTGGCAAGGGCTGTGTGCTCGGCTGGGTAACCCAGGCAGCAGTTCTGGGCTCAGAGGTTCCCTGACCCTGTTCCCTGCATGGGGCTGCAGGAGTGCACTGAGTGTCACTTGCTCCCTCCTCCTGCCTTTCCCAAAGCTCCTGAGCACTGCCAGGAGCTGACCCAGGTGGGCCTTTATGGCTCCTAATGCAAACCAGTGTGCCATTGAATCTGGCTGTTGTAATTGCAGGAAACCACAGTAATTAACTGCCATTAGTAGAACTTTAGTGTTGCTGCTGGTGTATCCTGTGAGAGGAAATCTCCTTTGGTTCCCTGCTGAGATACCTGTCTGGTTCAAATCTGGGTTGTGGCTTGGGATCTAGAAGCCAAAATCAGTTCCTGAACTGAGAAGTTCACCTGCAGGGGAGGGATTTCTGCAGCAGATGGACACAGTACCTGAAAAAGTCACAGTGTGGTGTCAGAAGCTGCTGTAGGTGTTGGTCTGGGCACACTTGACATTTGCAAAATTCTTGTGCTGTCATTTGCAAAAGTCTTGTGCTGTCATCCTGCCTTTTCCTTCTGAGGGAACAGTCACTATTCCCTCCATGTGTGGATGTGCATCTCTAAAATGGGTATTGAAGGGCTGGGTATTCAAAGGGCCGAGGGAGGTTAAACACACACCCAATGGGCAGGTGTCATCTCTGTTCAGAAATCTGAAAAATGAAGTCACCATTCCCGCAAAGGTCCCTCAGGTACAATTTTAGCCCTACATGAATTTAAGTCTCTTCTCCAACCCTGCAGAATTCCCCCAAAATATCCGTGGTGCTGGTATGGTATATTTAGCTTAAAGAACAGATCGTCCTGGTAACCAGATGAGGAAATGCTTGGAACAAGCCTGCTGGGATCTTTCCAGAGTATGTTAATTACTCTCACTGTGCCCAGGCATGACAGAAGAGAACTTTAGGCAGAGCATTGGTGCTGCAGCCCTTGCATTCCCTTTGGCTCCCCTGCCCTGCTCCACTGTCACTCCCAGGTTTCCTGCTGGGAATGGGGCAAGCAGGGCAAGTGCTGTTTATTTATCTGCCTCTTGGTGTGTTTGTTTATTTATTATTTGCTTCTTTATTATTTACATTTTGATTTACTTATTTAGCAGGCTCTACTGATTCCAGGGGACCTCTCCTGTTGTTGCAGTAGGGATTATTAAGGTCTTTGGGATTTGCAGCTTTAGCAGATCTTGCCAAAGCACTTCCAAGCTTCGGCAGACTCCTTTGCCCAATCCTCTGGGACTCCTGGCTGCAGGAAATACTGCTGATGGGGGCTCAGCCCTGTGCAGGTCACTGGTGGGATCTGAGATCTCTGGCCCATTGTAAGGGGTGGTTGTGGGACAGACATGCAGGGATGTCCGACAGGGTCTTGCTTCAGGTGTGTCTGGCAGTCTGGGGTGTTCTTCTCCCACAGAGGACAAACACTGGCTGTGTCAGCACATAGTGCCTTGTCCATGTCCTTTGCCGCATGGGACGGAGCTGTTCCACCTCTGCTACAATGCACACTTCAGCCCTTTCTGGCCACTGCTTGAGCAGGATAGAACTCCTTCCACTTCCAGCCTTAAAAAATTTTTCCTTTAAGAGGTGTTGAACCTGTTTGAATAAAGGTTTAAGTGTTGTCCTCCAGAAGTGTTTTTGAGACAGCATGAGAATTTCAGGGCTCGTGTTCCACCTGCTCTGCTGGGATCTGTCCTTGTGGGTGACTGATGGACGTGTTCCCAGCGTGCCCTGGGTGTGTGTTCAGTGAGAACCTGTTGCCTTTCCCAGCTTTCCCAAGTTCAGGGTGCGTCTGTTGGTTCCTGAAGCCATCAGCTGTGGTCCTCCTCAGAGCTCCTGGATGCTGAGGTAGCACAAGGCTTCACCTCCACTGGTTTTTGTTCCTCAAAAAGCAGCACTTGGTTCCCAAGGCTCTTGGCTTAATGTTCAAGGACTCTGCTTGCCTCAAAGTCTGCCCCAACTGGAAAATGGTGAGAGCTGCTGTACATCCCTGGGAATGTAACACTGGAGCTTGGCTGGCTCAGTTCTGGCTCTCTCTGGGTACCTTGGAGCATTCCAGGTGCAGGGCCTAATCTGCTCCTGCTGAGCCTGTGGGTGACGTGCTGCAGGATTTACAGCTTTCACCGTGTCCTGTGCTCCAGCGTGCAGCAAACGTGCCTTATCCTGGATACACCTGCTGATTTCCAGGGAGCCATCTGAAATGAGCCTTTCCTCCAGCTGTGAGGGTTTGCTGCAGGCTGGGGTAGCAGCCTTGTGGAGGCTGGGGGGAGCACGGAGCATCCAAGTGCAGCAGCACTTGGGAGCACACTGCCTGGCAGGTGGCATTTGCTGTGGTGTAAGGGGATTTGCCATATGACCTGCTTGGCATCAGTGTCACGTGGCACACTGATCAGACCTGGCATCTAAAGAACACACTGAGATCAGCAGAGGAGCTGCTGCAAAACGCTGGCTGGCAGGAGGATCCACAGGAATCCCAGCTTTGTCCATGAAAGCTTGCTCACAGGAGCTTGATCGTGGCTTTCTCTCTGTGTTCGGGGCAGTTTTAGTGCCTTTTGTAAATCCGGTGATTTGTTCCTCCTCAAGCTTACATGGATGGATACACTGCTCCAGCACTGGATGTGCATGAGCCTGGGAAGCCAGCTGGAAGGAATGGGGTGGTGAAGCGGCTGCAATATTAACTTGACACCTAATTATATCCCCTGGGCTGATTTTTCCATTCTGTCATGCCCCGCTCTGTCTGCACTTAATGTGGGATGCTGTGGAGCTCTCCGTATCCAGCCATGCTCTGGCAGACATTTGGGATGAAATTATCTGTTGTAAAAGCTCTCCTGTCTGTGCCACCAAAAGTAGCATCTCCCTGATGTTTATATTTCCTTAAACCAAGCAGGATAGATTAATCCTGTATAGATTTGAAAGACAGTATTTGTTCTATTTTACAGCTCTTCTGGAATGGGATTTCACACCATAGTTCCTGTGAGAATTGCCATGGGACCTGCACTGTCTCTGACCAGAACTAGCTTTTTTTGACCCGATTCATATTCTGGCATTCCCTTGTTAAAGCAGGAACTCCTCTGGCCAGTTTCCACATCAACTCCTGAAGTTAAATTTCCTACAGGCTTTCTCCCCTGAGGAGGAACTGAAGCCATGGCCTGGGTGGGAGCAGTTTGTGGCACCTGCCAGGAGGTCTGTACTAACCATAGCTGTTGTTGTTCAGTGCCCCAGGTCCTCAAGAGCTGCACGGAGTTCATCGAGAAGCACGGCATTGTGGATGGGATATACCGGCTCTCCGGGATCGCCTCCAACATCCAGAAACTCCGGTAAGGGCCTGCTGTGAGCCCTTGGCACGGGCAGGGCACAGCCTGGGCTGCCTCTGCCACATTCGTCCTGCAGGAAGCTTTCCTTCAGCATGAAGTATCAGCATCCTGGTGTCACTATGCTGGCATGTTTCATTTCTGTTCTTTTTCTCTCCAGGAGCCCTTTGGAGCAGCTGATGTTTCTCTCTGCTGCCTTGGGCTCCTGGCTTAGCAGCAGTTAATTGGGAATGTGCAAAGGATGCATGCCTGAGTCTGGTGGGTGGCATTGCTGTGCTGCACAGGGAAGGGCCAAGAGTGTGTTCTGGTTAGGAGCTGTTCCCATCTCAGCAAACTTCCTTTCTTCTTTTATGAGGCTGTTGTCCTCCTGTGGTTTGGTGTAGAATGTTCTGCTGTGGAGCATTGATGTGCTGAGTGGATGTGACTCACCAGCACTGCTCCTGGGCCCACGGCCTGACAGAGGCAGCACAGGGCTATTTGCCATGGGCAGAGTATCTTTTTTGTACCAGCTGTTCCCCAGTTCAGTGGGCAGGTTTGAGCTGTTAATCCTGTTCCTTATCTCAGCAAGTCCCAAGGTTTTGATATGCAGGATCTAAAGGCTCTGACTGGAACTGTGACTGAATAAAACATTTGCCATTGTTTCAGTTATATCCCTTTATTCCCCATTTTGACCTGTGCTGGTCCATCCATATAATCTCTGCCCTAGTCCATTTTTTTCCTTTTGTGTTGCCAAGACCATTTTGTCCTTGTGTATCAAAAATGGTTTAAAATGGTTTTCTAAAATTCTAATGGCATAATTTCCTGTTGTAGTGCAGAGAATGAAGTTACAGCCTGTTTTCCAGGTTTCTGAGATGTTCCAAAGACAAAAGGAAGGGAGTACATGGCATAACTTATTGACACTGTCCTGTTCATGTAAATCCCTACAGATTTTGAGTGTTTGATGAATATAAGACACATCTTGCTGCAGTTCCCAGCTGTATAAACAGGGCATTACGCTCATTCCAAAGCTGGGACTGCAGTATTCTTACAAATGAATCACTGTGCTTAGGTTTCCCATAGAAGAACAGGATCTCCTGAATTTAAAGGGCTTTTTGGTTGGAGAGAAGGTTAGAGAATTTATTCTACGTGTGAGATTTCCATGGGACAGATGTTGGCTCTTCAGTAGGGCAGTAGCTGCCTTTATTTGGCAGATTGACAAACAGCCACTGTTGATTTGGGGTGTTGATCCCTGTATCCTGGTATCCTGGCTCTTTTTGAGAAGCTGTGGAGTTGTTCTTCACCTAACAAAATCTTCCTTTGGGTCAGAAGGATTAACCTGTAGCTCTGGAAACAGTCAGTGCAGAGAGGAGGAGGATTAAATGTGGTGGGGCATCCCTCTCTTCCTTCCATATTCACTTCAGAAGGGAACATTGTTGACAGAGTGTGAGCTTTATTCCTAGGAAAAACCACGGAGTAGGGCAGGATATGGGCAGGGAGTTTGAGCCAGGGCTGTGTCTTTGTGTGGGGTGGGCTGGTGCCTTCCTGGGCTTTTCTGTGGAGCCAAGTTCGGGAGCTGAGTTTCTGTCCCACATGTGAGCAAGGGATGAGTCAGAAGCTGCCTGTGGAAGTGGTGTGTGCTGGACACTGGGCGTGTGGAAAACTGAATTCTTCCTTTCCTCCTGCTGTCTTCAGGATGAGGAAGGGATGGGCTGTTCACCCTGAGAAGGTGGGGACCTCTCCTGCTCCTTGTCTGGTGGGAGTGAAAGGCTTCCCATGAGCAGTGTCCATGTCCAGGGATGGAAGGAGTTCATCCTGATTCCATGAGGACTCAGCTGCAAACACAGCTGGAGCCCTGGGCATGTTCTGCTCCTCAGGCAGGGTGAGCTCAGGGGTTGTGTGACCCTCTGGGCACAACCTGCCAGCTTTGGGTGGGGGAAAGGACAGGGACAGGGATGGGCCACCTCACTCAGCCCACTCACTGTGATTGCAGTGCTGGCAGGAGGAGTCCCCATGGCTGTGAGCAGCCTGAAGACTCTGGCAGGGACCCCAAGGTTCTCCAGCTCCCAGGGCCTGGCTCACAGCTCTCATCCCCCTGGAGTGTCCTGCTAATTGGAAACAGCACTTCCCAGCATATATGCCAGCAGCAAGCCAGCCCTCGGCCTTCTGAGCTCAGCTTTTATTTCATAAACATTGGTGATTGGGGTTTTTTCTCTCTCTGAAAACCAAGGGAGTGCTATGGGGTTTTCTTCATGTGGTTCCTGGCTGTCTTCTCCCTGTAGCAGAGGCAGGCTCAGCTCACCAGCTCATCCCCCAGGAATTCCTGCACTCACTGGTTTCCATGTGCTGCTGATGGAAGTGCTGCTGGCAGGATTTTATCATTGCCATTTCCAGGCCTTTGAAATGCAGAGGGACAGCAGCTTTCATCGTTCCTATGGGCAATCCCAGTCACAGCCCTTGGGAGTTAAACCTGTGGTCTTGGAAGATGTTCTTTGGAGACTTTGCAAAAAGCCCTGATGCAGCAAAAGGGATTGCAGCCAGTTGGTTGTAAAATTACTGAAAATGCTTTATTAGAAAAAGGAAAAGTCTCTTTTTTCAAAAATATCCCCACTGGCTGCCCCACAGCCATGGGTCATGTGGTTTTGGTGACTAAGTGTTTATTTTTTCCTGTAAATCAGGAAAGCCTTGCTGTAATTTGTGCTGGGTTTGATTTCTCTCCTCCTTCTCAAAACCCTTTACCCATTTCTCTGTTCTCATTGCCAGCCACGAGTTTGACTCCGAGCAGATTCCCGACCTGACCAAGGACATTTACATCCAGGACATCCACTGTGTGGGCTCCCTGTGCAAGCTGTATTTCCGAGAGCTCCCCAACCCCCTGCTCACCTACCAGCTCTACGAGAAGTTCTCAGTGAGTGCCAGGCAAATGTGGGGGCGCCTTCAGCTGGTAGAGCAGAGAAATCCTTGGAAGCTGGACCTGTCTTTCACACACTTCCCTCTCTGGCTGCTCTGCCTCAGTTGGGGTTTTTAGAGCCATCAGAAGGGTGTGTCACCAAAATTGCTAGCCTGACTCTGTGCTGCCCACACTCCTGATTCCACCCTGCCATTCCAGAAGGGGCTGGCAGTGCCCAGGGTCTGAGGGGCCCCTTCTGTGTCCCCTTTAGGTCACTCAGAGGTGCCTTTGTCCCCTGTGCCACGCTGTGTGGGTTCCACTTGTGGGGCCACAGCAGATGGTCCCTGGCACAATTCCCATGCTTTGCAGGAATTCCCCTCTTGTTTGCCATTTCCCAGGAATGGGATTGGAAGCAAATGCTGCTCTGAGCTGAATGTCTTCCACAGGAATTCTCTGTGCCATTAACATGCCCCAGGTCATGACTTACTTGCCCTTCCTTACATGATCCATGTGCTGCTCTGTCCCCAAGACAGACCCCCTTACCCAAGGGGGAGAAGAGCAACAAAACCCATCTCACTGCCAAGGCTGGCACGTTGCGGATTTATTCGCAGCTAAATCCTTTCCTGCCTCATTCCAGGATGCTGTTTCTGCTGCTACAGATGAGGAAAGGCTGGTTAAAATCCACGATGTGATCCAGCAGCTGCCCCCTCCCCACTACAGGTGAGTGCAGCCTTTGGGGTCTTGGCATTTTGTGAGAGGAATTCTGTAATTCCAGTTTCCCTCTCAAGACAGCCACACTGTGCCTCTGCATATTGAAATGGTTGTGGCTGTAGAAAGTTGGTTTCTGTTTTAATTAGCTCCTTACCAAACACTGTGCACTAAACATGGTCTTAATTCAGGTCCTTGGAAACTCCATCTAGGAGGGAAATAGGAGCTTGTTATGTCAGAGTAAGGAAACAGTTTTATTGTGGGGGGGCACAATACCAGTGCTAAGAGCACTTTAAAAAAAAGTGAAATGTAGCCAAAAAATTGCTCAGGCCTTCAGCCAGACTTGGTCAACTGTATTTTGTCTCCAGTTTGCCCCTCCCTGCAATAATAGTAACTAGAAATAACAAAAATACTCTGAGACAACTGATGTAATTAACTATATTAGTGTAATGTATTAGAGTAGCATAATATGGTGTTTAAAAATCACCAATTAAAATACCATATTCCAGCTAATTAGTAGTAATAAGAACTCATGCTGTATGGTAATGGGTCTTGACTAAGAACAACAACATTTTAACAGTCTTCAGTATTAAAAATTATGGCAGGGTATGGTGTAAAGGTATCAGACAGATTGGTATTGGTGATTAGCTTTAATAACTGTATAGAGTACTGTATGTTAATGAGACTTAAATAGTAATAACTATTGATGTATGATGTATGGTAAGTAGCATTCACTAATTGTGAATTGTAATTGGTAGAAATAGCTAATGACAACATATAGTGGAAGTTATTTACAGATAGGTGCATGTTTTAATTGGCTGGGTCAGCTCCCCTGATGTGTCCCAGTGGTTTAGGTGACAATTTGGGGTGAATGCAGGCAGTGTTTGGCTATTGATGCCTAATTAAAATATTTCATTGTAATCATCAATTGATTATTGTAATGTATGTCAATCTGCAGGTGAAGTCAGAATTCTGGTCTAAGGGCTCAGGTGTAACACATGAGGACAGCTATTGATAACTGTTTATAGTAATTTCTGCCAATAAATGTTTAAATTTCACTTACTTTGATGTGTGGTGATTAGCTGGACTATTGCAATGCTGCAATGAGTGGTATAACTAACTAATAATAAAAGTTAACTGGGATTTAACTGATGTGTTATAAACTACAACCGTGTTACTTGCTCTTCAAATAAGGTCTTGTAGTAACTAATTGCAATATTGATGTTAACTGAGGGGGTGTGACCCTTTCAAAAACAAACTGATCTCTTTCTTTTCCATTCACCTTTACCCTGAAATTATTTTTACTTTATGGGGCTGGTTAAACTGAGTTCTGCCAGCAGCAGCACATGAGTCTCAGAGAGGGGGCACAGCCAACAGCAGGATGTGGAATGCTGTAGGTCACAGGGTGTTGCTCTCCTTTCCTGGGGTTTGCTTGGAGAAAGGAAAAAACACTTTATTTTTCTGCTACTCAGTGATGAGAAGTTGCAGGCAGGAGATGTCTCTTTGGTTTCCAGACGGAGCCATTTGCTTCACTTCCAATCCTATTTGTGGAATTTTGAGTCCCAAAACACCCTCTCTGTTCCATCTCCCTTCCCCCAGAAAAGGACAGGCTGTGAGACAGACACAAGCCAGGGGCACCAGGAGGGTACAGCAGCATTTTCACTGCCACCGCCTGCTCCCTGCTCCCTAGCATATATTAAACACAACAGTGCTTAATATACAAATCCCACCATTTTTTAATGTGGACAGAACCCTCTGAAGTTTAACCTTCTGTCTGCCTTACCCACCTGTGAGAAACTTGCAGCCAGTATTTTCAGTGTTCTGGGGTGTCTGAAGCAATACTCCCCCCAGTCCCTGTGGATTAGCATTCCACATCCTTCCCCACACATCCCTGAGCAGCCCCTCATGGCTGTCACACATCTGCAAAGGGTTTTTCCTGGAACTGTCCTTTTCTTGAGCCTGGACCAGCCAGAGACTCCCCTCAGCCCAGCCTGTGTCAGTATTGCCAAAGCCAGGCCCACCGTGGGGCTGAGGGGAAGGAGTTCAGCATTCCCTTCTGGGAGCTGTCAAACCAAAAGGAAATAATGAGTTGGGTTTATGCTGTGGATCACGGCCTGGCTTTGCTCAGTGGTGCTGAACATTTGCTTCTCTCCTGTTTTCCAGGACACTGGAGTTCCTAATGAGACACTTGGCTCGTCTGGCTGATTACTGCTCCATCACAAATATGCACACCAAGAACTTGGCAATCGTCTGGGCTCCAAACCTCCTCAGGTACTCTGGGATTTTCCCATTTCAATACAAAAGAAATGTTTACATTCATAAACAACAGATACTCCAGAAAATCCCAGCTTTTAGCAGCTGGAAAGAGCTCTTCCTCTCTTCACCCAGTGTGGTCTTCTCCTCCTGTAAAATACGGGAAATTATTCTAAGCAGGATTTAAGATCAGCTGGTGAGTTCCTGACCTAGTGATGTAAAACAGCCCCTGTATTAACCTGTCTCACACAACACAGTTCCACTGGCTGCAGTTCTGTCAGTAGTGACAAGGAAGAATTCCCTGAACCCTCTTTTAGAGGATAGATTCTCCTCTCCTGGTTAGATGAGACTGATGTGTCCTTGATCATCCAAGAAAATTTCTGCAGTGGCATCACTGATTTCCCACTGCATAAGTCTCTAGAGTCTAATTTGACAGCTTTTGGCTGCAAGAATTCAAACTTTCAGAAATTAACTTAGATAAATCTGTTTTGAATCTGCAGGAATAGGGCACTTGAAAATTAATGGTGTAACTTAAAAATTTTGCTTTAAAAGAAAACAATATCCTCCTGCCCTTATTGTACTGCTTTCTGACCTGCTATTGTTACCAAGCTGAGAACTGAGTGTGCAGTTCATCATGGAATCCCAGAAGGGTTTGGGTTGGGAGGGATATTAAAGCTCATGCAGTGCCACCCCCTGCCATGGGCAGGGACACCTTCCCCAGGTTGTCCAAGCTCTGTCCAATCTGCCCTTGGACACTTGCAGTTCATGCAGGTGAGCTCCTCTTTCTGGCAGTTCTCCCACAAGCAGGGGAGTGACCTCATGTTTGAGTTGGCTTTGATTTGTCCTGGGGCATTCGGTCAGTAGGATCAGGTGGAGACACTCCCTGCTTGAGGGAAAATCCTCTTAGAGGCCACAGTGGATTTGTACAACAGCACTGCCTTAAGTTGTGCCAGTCATGGAAATGAGTTAACAAAAAGCTTTAGATTTTGGGTGTTCAGTGTATTAACCTCAATTCAGACCTGTCCCACGCTCCCCGTTCCTCCCAACCCAGCGTTCCTCTTGCCCCATCAGTAAGGCTTGAACCTGGATCTGAAGTTTGGCCATGAATCCCCAGAGTCAGTGAGCGTTGCTGAAATTTAACCCCAGAACTGCCCTGAAGCCCTTTCTGCCCGAGCCCCAGGCCCTGCAGCCCCACAGGAGCCTCCTCGCCCAGCAGGAGCCTCTTCCCTCTCCGTGTCCCTTTGCAGGTCCAAGCAGATCGAGTCCGCCTGCTTCAGCGGCACGGCCGCCTTCATGGAGGTGCGGATCCAGTCGGTGGTGGTGGAGTTCATCCTGAACCACGTGGATGTGCTCTTCAGCTCCAAGCTCAGCTCCGTCATCCGCGATGGGGCAGGTGTGTCTCGTGGCTTGCTGCACTCGGGTGGGAGCAGCAGCACTCCGTGGCTGGCTGAGCCTCCTCCGGGACATGGAAATGGGTTTTATTTTAACCTGGAGGGCACATTTCTGGGTTGGGGTGTCAGAACCCAGACAGAGATGGCCTGCTTTTAGAAATTGCTGTCAGTACCTTTCTTAAAAGCCAAGGATGCCCCACAGGAATGCAGAGATGAATGTTTGGCTTCTACTTTTATGTCCTACCACTGAGAAATTGCAAGGAATCACTTCAGTCTTTGTCTCCCCTGCTCCCTCTCTGTTTTAAAACCATCTTTACTGGTGCTCCTGCATACTTACACATTGGAACTAAGTCTGTCTGCCCTCATCCATACCTTAGAACACAAATAGAATGAGCTGGTGTAAAGCAGTCTCTGCATTCAGTCATGTTGAGGCTAAAAAACTGAAATCTTGCACTTGCTCAGGCTGGTGTTGCTTTAGGATGAGGAGTGAACCTGGAGCACCTGTCATCCAGCCTTGGAGCCTGCAAATTCCCTTGAGTAACTGAGACCATGTATCTTCTCTATCGAGAAGGAGCAGAGTTGTACCAGGAGGAAAGTTTAAAACTCTTAGGAGCAGGAACAGCAGGAGCTGTTCCTGCTCCTAAGCAGCATTAGGGCTGCACCATCTGCCTTGATAACCTGCCTGTGCCTGGAACATGCACAGCTACTGCAGTTAGCACCACCTGGGGACTGCAGAGAGCTGGCTTTCCACTGTATTTGCTGCTCCCTTCTTTTAAACAAACCTTACCTCTGCTTAGGTTGGCAGAGTTGATCCAAGTCCAGCTTTTTCTCCTGCTGTAGGGCAGTTCTAAGTCCATGGAAGCCAGAGGTTAGCTTGGCTGAGCAGTGCCAGCCCCAGCAGGCTGACTCTGCCAGGGGAAGGAAGATAAGCATGCTCAGAATCCCAGCCAGATGATTATCCAGGCTTAGAATGGCCCATGTAAATTCGGCTAATTGTTTAATGACTTGGTCATTTGCATTCAGTGGCTATGACACAGACCTGGCAGGGAGGAGGGTCAGGCTGTTGGGTTGCCTAAGTGCAGGAATTTTGCATTCCAGAACGGCTTCCTGGGAGCCTCTGGGTGTGAGCACAGCTCCTGCACCCACCTGTGAGAGGGGGAGATGGTGCTGCCAAACCTGTTTTAACCCAAAGTTCACCCAGGACAGCATTTACAGCTCCCACACCACCCCACAGACTCTGCATCCTTCACACAGAGCTGTGGTGCTACAGGGACAGTCATGGAACTGGACCAAGCGGGATGTTCTGCACTGGTACATCTGCCCCAAAGCCCTGAACTCACCTGGGAATAACCCTAGAAACACCTGTACAAGAGGCAATGGCAGACACAGGAGAGCTGCTTCTACAACAGACTCCCCATAATCTCTCCACTGAAGCTGTCAGCAGCAGGAGGCAGCAGCAGCTACTTTCAGGTTTTGCACATTCATCACCAAAACCAGGCACAAGCTCTAAAGGCCACGGGCAGGCCACACAGCAGATTCTGTTTGCTGTGTCCAGGTGCACTTTGGTTTGTAGCAGCTTCAGTCACACGTGGCATTTCCTGCTGCACAGAGAGGTGAACTCTGGGAATGACCCAGACAAGCTTTATACAAAGGAAAAACATCATTTTCTTCACAGGCTCTTGCGTACAGATGAAGGAAAGTATGTCACAAAGGTTTCCATCCTACCTGCTTGCCTCTGCTTTTTTGTTTAATACACTGAGCCATTATTCTTTTAGTCATCACCATATTTGTGACGTTGTGACCACGTTTTGTCCACATCTTTCAGTGTCTGGGATAACCAAGATTCAGAAAAACACAGCACCTCCCTAGACACACAGAGCTGAGCTTTGATCTCTGCACTGCCGTTTGCTGACTCTCCCTGTTGCCTGTGGTTTTCCCTTGCAGGGCACAGCTCTTTATCCCGGCCCAAGTCTCTGCTGGTGTCCTCCCCCTCCACGAAGCTGCTCACGCTGGAGGAGGCTCAGGCACGGACACAGGCCCAGATCAACTCTCCCATCGTGGCAGACAGCAAGTACATTGAAGTGGGAGAAGGCCCAGCAGCTTTGCAGGGGAAATTCCACACAGTCATTGACTTCCCATCTGAAAGGTAGAGACAGGTTTCCTTTCCAGCATGTGTCATAACTGTGTTATTTTGAATACAGCAGGAATTTGCTTATATTGACTTGAGACTTGTTATATATGTAAATATTGTGGCCAGTTTTCCACCTGCTTTTGACTCTGGGAGGATTCAGCTCATATCAGTGGTCTTGGATTAGCTAAATAATTTGTGTTCCACTCCCTCTTGTTTCATCAGGGATATCATTTAATACATAAATCCATGGTTTTTGTAATGCAGAGATGCCTGGACCAGTCACACACAGAAATGTAAACAGGGTGAACACCTGCAGATGTTGGGGTTTTCCAGGAATAAGTGCTTGTTACAAATCCAGGTTCCCTTGAAATGGAGCAGTTGGACAGGCTCGAGGACACTGGAAGTTAAATATGGCAGTGGAGGAGACTAAGGTGGTTTTATAGCAGGAGTGAGAGATGCTTTTGAGCGCCTTTATGGCTGCCCAGCTTCCCAGAGAGCTGGGGCTTCTTCCAGAAAATCGATTCCTTGGCTGCTGCACTGGACAAGGAAGAGCCTTTCCTCACATGCACTGCAGCTGCTTTGTGGAGTTTGGGGGAATTTACACAAGACTTTAGGGCTGAGCTGGAAAAAAGAAAACATACTCAGCTGTGGAAAAGAGGGAGGTTCCAAGCAGAAGCCTGGAACAGTCACACACAGAAATGTAAACAGGGTGAACACCTGCAGATGTTGGGGTTTTCCAGGAATAAGTGCTTGTTACAAATCCAGGTTCCCTTGAAATGGAGCAGTTGGACAGGCTTGGAAGTTGGACACTGGAAGTTAAATATGGCAGTGGAGGAGACTAAGGTGGTTTTATAGCAGGAGTGAGAGATGCTTTTGAGCACCTTTATGGCTGCCCAGCTTCCCAGAGAGCTGGGGCTTCTTCCAGAAAATCGATTCCTTGGCTGCTGCACTGGACAAGGAAGAGCCTTTCCTCACATGCACTGCAGCTGCTTTGTGGAGTTTGGGGGAATTTACACAACAAGACTTTAGGGCTGAGCTGGAAAAAAGAAAACATACTCAGCTGTGGAAAAGAGGGAGGTTCCAAGCAGAAGCCAGGAGTTTCTGAGCAGAAAGCAGAGTGCTGATAACAAGCAGCCAGGATTGAGCTGCAGCCCACCCTCCATCCATGTGTTCCATTTTCTCTCCCCAGGAAAAGGCCTCCCAGCAAGATGAAGAAGTCTCCAGTGGGGAGCTGGCGTTCCTTCTTCAACCTGGGAAAATCCTCCTCCGTGTCCAAGCGCAAACTGCAGCGCAACCCCAGCGAGCCCTCAGAAATGAAAGCCATAGCCCTGGCAGGTGAGGTCCCCTTCCAAATCCCGGGGTTGTCAGCAGTGCAGGGTGATGTTTCCAGTGGGCGTTTATCTCCTTCTAGCGTCCAAGCTGTGCATGACACCTCCGGTGGCTGTTCTTTCCCTATGGATCTCAGGCAGCTCTGGAGCCTGCCGGGGCTCACACCTCTGCGCTTTTTGGAACAGCTTTGGAAAGATAAGATGTGGCTGCTGCTGTCATAAGTCACAGGATAATTCCTTCTGACACTCTCATTATGAAATGAGAATACAGTTCTGGTTCTCCTTGCTGCTCTCAGAAGATGAAATGAGGGAAAGGCAGCTTCCCACAAATGCATTCCCTCCAAAAGCTGTACCAGAGTACCCAGAGAAGGCAGCCAACAACCCTTTGTAGCCACAGCCTGGATATGTAGGTGGAATTCTCAGCCTTTTCCATATATAATTTTCTGTCTCTTTCCAAACTTAAAAATAGCAACCGCGTGTTTTTGCAGTAAAACACATCACAAATCCCAAAATATGGGCCTGGGAGAACTTTTATCCCCTCATCTCCCAAGGTCGATCTTTAAATTCTTACCCTCACAGTCTTCACACTCTCTATGATGCCCTTCAGGGCTCTCTCCTCATAAACTGAAATTATACTTGTTTAGTGCCCATGAAACAGGGTCTGTAAATGTTCCTTCCTTCCCCCTTTTTGAGGGGTTTTGCTTGTGGGAAGTTGCCCAGCCTGTCACCTGCAGCAGTCATCACTTGGGTTGGTTCCTGTTTCCAGGTAAAATGAGAATCAGAAACCCACCTTCAAAATAAGATTACTCTCGGGACAGTGATGTTGGTGCTAGAAATGCATTTGTGTTTTTCCTGCCACCATTACCCACTAAGTGTGAACCCCTTTCTAACCGATCCTTTCCCTGTGTGGTTCCTTCCCTCAGGAGGACGAGGAGACAGCGGGACGCTCCGCTCGGCCAAGAGCGAGGAGTCCCTCACCTCCCTGCATGCTGTGGATGGTAAGGCAAAATCCTACCTGCACTTCCAAGAAAGGGACATTAAGGGACATTTGACATCTCTGGCTGAGGATATTCAGCAGAGCAGGTTTTCCACCCCTCCAGGGGAAGCTAAACTTGCTAACTGATGAAGCAGCTTTCTGCTCCCAGCACAGATGGGTCTCACAGAAATGCTCTTCATGGCTTTTCCTGCTTTTAAGGTTAGAAAAAGCAAACCTCTTGCTCTGGTGTAGCTGACACTGCTTATATTCATTCCTTGGCTCCTCCCCTTGCTACTTCAAGGTTGACAGGACAGCATTGTGGAGGAAAGTGCCCTCTGAGAAAGGCCTTCAGCACATTTAAAGTGTCTTTGCTTGTGCACACAGCTTAGTTTCACACTAAATCACACCTGGCAAGTGCTGTAACAGAGTTTAAGCAAATGGATTAAGCAGTCACTGTGCCAACGATGTTACTTTGTGTGCAGAGATAGCCAGGGGAGCCTCTCACTGCCTTAGGACTGCTCTGACTGCCCCCAGCCCCTGACTGGGCCTGGCCGCCTGGGCAGGAGGTCCTGTCACTGACCCACTGTGTCTGCTCACTTCCAGGTGAATCCAAACTGTTCCGGCCCAGAAGGCCCAGGTCCAGCAGCGATGCCCTGTCTGCCTCCTTCAATGGGGAGCTGCTGGGGAACATGAACCGCTGCAACTCCTACGACAACCTCCCCCATGACGACAGCGACGGGGACGAGGGGCTCATCCACGTCCCTGCCCTCATCTCTCCCCGCTCCTCCGAGGACGTGGACCTCAGCCCGCCGGACATCGGCGTCGCCAGCCTGGACTTTGACCCCATGTCCTTCCAGTGCAGCCCCCCCCAGGCAGAGTCCGAGTGCCTGGACAGCAGCACCTCCCTGCTGGAGTCCGTCGATGTCAATAAGGAGAAGCCAAGCCTGCTCAAGAAGGATTTAGAATCAGGCAGCCAGTCCCAGACCCCAGGCAGTGCCACAAGCTCTGAGCCAGTGTCCCCTTTCCAGGAGAAGATGAGTCCCTTCTTTACGCTGGACCTGAGCCCCACGGAAGAGCAGGCCTGCAAACCACTCAGCTTCTCACCCAAGACAGCCCGAAAGCCCATCAAATCTCCACCACTGAGCACAGAACCCACCTCCTTTGTGCTACCCAGCCGTGTCCCAGAGGCCATGGGAGGAGTGCCCACCACATCCAGGAACTCCTCTGCTTCCAGCTGGAGCAAAGAGATTGGCATCACTGAGATCACAAACAGGTCCCCAACCCAGATGTCCTTGCCCCTGAAAAACAGTGAAACAGGAACAGGGGAAGGAGGCCACCAAGAGCTGCAGCATCCCCAGCTAGTGGCTGCTTGCAAAGCAGAATTGCCAGAAGAAGGGGAGAGAGCCATGCCAAGCAGTCAGAATAAGACTGTACCCAGTGGACACACCCAGCCAGGTACAGTGCATTTTCCTCCATTCTTTCTTTAAGTTCCAAAGGGGAGCTGCTCTCAGAACCGTCCTCCTCTGCGTGCCTTTAGGAGAGGGGATTGCCCGTCAGTTCTGGTCACGAGTGTCTTGCAGGGCTGTGCAGATCAGTAAAGTCTTAACCTCTGCCTTCTCCCTACATCACACAAATCTCGGATAATTTCCATAATGCTTTATATTCCGCTTTTTTTTTCCCCATCCTCTCATACGTGAAAATCTCTAGCATGTCCTTCTCAATCATTTCAGCCAATAGACCATCTAAGACTTTTCCTTTTTTAAATTAAAAATCTGCCAACACTCGAAGAAGGGACCTTTCCGCCTAAATCTTATGATCAAAATTGTGTAAGGGTATCTCATTCTCTGCTACCTCCTTCCTACCTCTAGAAATGCAAGAGGAGCCTTTAGACAATCTCTTGGGTTTTTTCCTCTTTGTGATGAACTGCTGTGCTGTCGAGCAGCGTTTGCCTGTGAGACACAAGTGTTTCACATCAGAAGGAACTGCCACTGTGAAAGTGTGGAGAGCATCTATTTTTTTATAATAGTCGTTAAGGTCACTCTCCTTATTGGGTAACATAAAATCACTCTCTCTCTCAATTTTCCCCCCATTAGGAGCAGTTGCCCTCGACTCCCCCCAGGATCCTGTTCCCGTCAGTTCTGTGTCTCTTATCCCTCCTCCTCCTCCGAAAAACGCAGCGCGCATGCTGGCCCTAGCGTTAGCCGAGTCCGCACAGCAAGCATCCGCCCAGTCCCACAAAAGGCCAGGAGATGCTCATGCTGAAAGCACAAATTATGGAGAGGCTGAAGCTGGCACAGCTCTAGAAAAGCTCCATCTCTCTGCGGGCGCTCCCGACAAGCTCCACCTGTTCACTGCTCTGCCCGAGAACCGCCTGCACTTCCAGCCTGGGGCACCTTTAGAGCAGGACTGCCAAGGCACGGCCGGGGAGCAGAACCACCCACCCGGCGCACCTGGAGGCCAAGAGCCCCCGCCTCTCAACGCGGGCATTCCCGGGGACACGCCTGGCAGCAGGGATGCCGAGCAGGAGCAGTCCAGCTTCCACCTCAGCAGAGCCGGGGACAAGGAGGCCTTCCCGGCCCACGTGGGGGACTGGGAGCACGCGGCCCTCCACGGCCCAGGGACATTGCCAGAGCGGGAGCTGCCCGGCACGGAGCTGGCTGTGGAACAGCCCCACCTGCGCACGGGCCTGGCTGGGGACAAGCTGCACGCTCCCTGCACGGCCGAGGACAAGCTGCAGTCTCCCTCCGTGGGTCCCGCTGGGGACAAGGGCGCCCCAGCCGCGGTGCCGTACCTGAGCACCCTGCCGGGCACGGTGGCTGAGCCCCGTGCCCCGCCCGGGGCCGCCCCCCAGGCAGATGCCACCGTCCCGCCCGCACCGCGCACGGCCCCGGCACAGAGACAGGAGCACCAGGCAGCCGTGGGACAGGTGCCAGCGGCCAAAGCACCCAGCGGCTCCGGGCAGGTACGTGCTGCTCCCTGCACAGCTCCTCTGAAATGCTGAGCGCTGGGAATGTCAGTCCAAATCCAAATGGCATGGAAGGGGATTTGCAGGAGACCGGGAGTGATGTGGGTGTAACACAGACGCAGCCTTGCAGAAAATCCTGTGCTGCTTTCCTAAGGGAGCATCCCAGAATACCCACTCTCCTTGGTTTTAAGGGAAAAAGTATCTGCAGGGGCAGCTGACAGAGGGATTGATAGTTCAGAATGCTTAGAAAGAATTTTTGCATCCTCTGACAAGGTCCTCTTCCAGCATCCTGGTTAGGCTCTTGTCCAGTCAGAGACAGGATGAGAAGACAGTCTTAAACTGCACCAGGAGAGGTTTAAGTTGGGCAACAGGCAGAATTTCTTCACAAAAGGGTGATTTGGTGCTAGAAGGGGCTGCCTAGGGAACTGGTGGAGTCCCCATCGCTGGAGGTGTGCAAGGAGCAACTGGACGTGGCACTTAAGTGCTCTGGGCTGGTTGACAAGGTGGGGATTGGTCTCAGGTAGGACTCAGTGGTCTCTGAGATCTTTTCCAAACTCAGTGATTCTGTTAAGCAGGTCACATTGCTTGTGCAGGATTGAAACATTTCCATCAGAAATCCAAAGCCCCCAGCCCATGAAACACGCCTGGCTGCAGCCCATCCTAAGCCCTGCAGCCACAGTTAAGGCAGGAATTTCTACTTTACTGTGCTTCTTGATCTGCTCACCAGGGCCTGAGCTTCTGGATTTAACCTGAGGAGGTTAAATCCAGAAGCATTTTCATTAATATGAGACATTTAAAAGCAGACCACCTAACAAAACACTGAGGGTACTGTGTGAGGACACAGCCACCTCCTCCCCTTCCTCTGGTTTGGCTTTCGCAGAACACACCAGTTCTGCTGGGTCCCAAAAAACTGCCCAGTGGCATCCTGCCTTCCCATGCTGGGAGAGGGAACTACACATCTGTCAGTCCCCAGCAAACAGAACCAAGGCACAGACATGCTGGAATGGAGCTGATCCATACAAGTGTCTGGGATGTTCCAGCTACAGAACAGCAGGGAAAAAGCTGCTTGTCCCTAACTTTGTCTGCTTTCTTCCCTGCAGATGTGGAGCACAGCTGCACCTGAAAAGCCTCCAGAGCCCACACCTGGCTTTGTCTCCGAGAGCAGTTCCAGTGCCCGTGCCTCCTCTTCTGTGCCCGCGGGCCACCAGAGCCACTTGGAAAAACCTCGGGAGAGCACAAGGGCTCCCCCGCTGCACCTGCGCTCCGAGTCAGTCCCTGCCCCCTCCTCCTACAGCTTCACCCCGCCCGTGCCGCCCGTGAGGACACTGGAGAGCAAGATCGCCGCAGCCATGCACTCCAACAACACGGACGCCATCAACAACTCCAACTACCACTCCTTCCTGGCCTCCTCCATGCTGGCGTCCTCCGTGGAGGAGGCGCTGCTGCCGCCACCACCGCCACCACCTCCCAAGCACTCGTCCCTGCAGCCGGTGTACGTACCGCACCCCAAGACAGAGAGCCTCCCCGAGCCCGTGGGGCCTGACAGCTACCTGCACGCCAAGCACCAGTACCGGCCCGAGAGCGTCCCTGCCCACGGCTACCACGGCAAGGCCGAGCAGCACCAGCCCTACCCACCCCGCCCGGAGCCGCCTGTCACCGCAGGCACGCGCTACGGCTCCTACGGCACGCAGGGCAAGGGCTCTGCCACGGGCCTGCACCCCAAGCCCCGCAGCCGCACCGACTTCATGTCCTCCGTGAGCCCCACGGGGCTGCGGGGCACCGGCTATGCCGAGGAGGCCCCCCCGTACCCCACCATCCGCAGGGTGCAGTCGCTGCACGTGCCCGGCCCGGCCGCCGCCGCCGCCATCCGCTCCGTGCCGACGTCCCGCACGGAGGTGCCCCCGGACGACGAGCCCGTGTACTGCCCGCGGCCCCTCTACCAGTACAAGCCGTATCAGCCCCACTCCGACTACCACGTCACGCAGCTCCAGCCTTACTTTGAGAACGGGCGGGTCCATTATCGCTACAGTCCCTACTCCAGCTCCTCCAGCTCTCCGTACTACACTGCGGCCGACGGGAGTTTCTACGACCTGGATCCCTACAGCACCGTGCGGGTCCGGCCCTTCCACGGCCTGCCCGGCCGCGAGTTCGGCCCCTACGTGTCCCGGCTGCAGGGCAAGGGGCTGTACCGCTACCCCAGCCTGGCCGCCTACCCCCGGGCAGGGCTCATCAACCACCTGGGCAAAGAGCACAGCTTCGTGAGCAGGGACGTGCCCCCCGCCCCGGACATCAAGCACATGTACATGTCCTGGGACCTGGAGGACATGGAGAAGTACCGCATGCAGTCCATCCGCCGGGAGAGCCGCACGCGCCAGAAGGTCAAAGGGCCCCTCATGTCCCAGTACGACAACGTGGCCCCACTGCTGCAGGACGAGCTGGGGGGTCTGGATGCCATCCACCTGCGCAGCAAATCGGATCCTGGCAAGAGCGGCCTGCTGACGGTGGCAGAAGGGAAGGAGGGCAGGTACCCAGCCAAGGCGGCCACGCCCGAAGGGGACGAGCGTTACTACGGGCAGCACATGGAGCCTGAGCTGGACCGAGCCGTCTATCACGGCGGGGGCTATGGGAATGGGCAGCCTGAAAAGCCATCCTTGCCCCAGAAGCAGAGCAGCATCCGGAACAGGAAGATGCACGAAGCAGGCAGCAGCAGCAGCGAGCACAGGACGTATTTGCAGCAGGAAGCCAACCATAGGCAGCCTTCCGAACCCAAAAATGGGCCCCCCTACCCCGAGTACAGGCCCAAGGGCGGCCCAGAGCCCTCCGAGCCCATGGGCTACCAGCACTCGGGCAGCAAGTACATCCCGGCCAGCCAGGAGACCCTGAGGCTGAACCACAAGGAGGGGAGGCTGGCAGAGGACAGGCCAGACCTGGAGAGGCCCCGAGGCAGGGCATCCATGGAGAAGCACTCCAGAGACTGCTACAAGGAGGAGGAACACGCCGCCCCTCCCGTGGCGCCGCCACCCAAGCCCGAGCGGAGCCACAGCCTCCGAATGCGGGAGCACCCTGAGCCCATGGAGAGGGACTCTGCCCTGCTGTACCCCTACCAAACCCTGGGCAAGCGCCAAAGCACGATGACTGTGGTGTCCCAGTACGATAATCTGGAGGATTACCATACCCTGCCTCAGCACCAAAGAGGGGCCTATGCTGGAGCGGGGGGCTTCGTGCCCCCCGGCTTCCCCCATGTGCACAGCAGAACTTACGCCACGGCGCTGGGGCAGGGAGCCTTCCTCCCCACAGAGCTGTGTCTGCAGAGGCCCGAGACAGAGGTGCACGTCGAGTGAGCTGGGGGGGGGGGACGAGGGATAGAGTCTAAGCAGCCTCTGCTGGACAGTGGACTGTTTTATTTTTTCAGTGACAGTAAAAAACTCCCTGACCTTGCCCCAGTGAGCAAAGCAAACCCCCCTCAGCCCTCCCTTGGCCCCCACTCACTGTTTTTATGTAGTAGAGCTATAGATTTTCATGTAGTTTTGAGCCACCTGGGAGGGCAGGGCAGGCTGTTGGCACACAGTTGTTGCCAGAGGCCGGGCAGGGCTGACACAGATGCTGTTGGGGCAGGGAGGGAAGGAATTTTCCCTTCCCAGATGTGACACTGGCTGCTCCTCCCCATGCCCAGGGTCCCAGGTATGATGGGCTGTGCACAATGGACTGTACCTGCAGCTCCATCCTGCTGCAAACTGCCCATCCCAGGCTGGCTCCCAGGAAAGGGCCGTGGAGGAACCTTGGAGTTACACAGAGAGAGTGGGGCTGGGCAGGGCTCCCCAGGGATCCTCTCCTTGCTGAGGCCCTGCCTCTCCCGTGGCTGCACCCACTGCAGCTGCTCTGAGCTAGCTGGGGGCCTGTTTTGACTTCAAGCCCGAGGAATAGGCTCTGAAGCCAGCTCAGAACACAACACACTCGTTATGTTTCTTGCTTATTAACAAGCTGCTTCTGCCTACAAGAAGTCCATTTCCTTTACATTTCTCTGTGTAAGCTGCAGGAGCCATGTAGGGCAGGTTTGCATTTCTCACACCAAAAGAAATAAACCACTAAACTACACCAAACCCAACCCCCAGAGCTGGGAACAGCACACCCATTCCATGCCAGTCCTTCCTCTTGGTTGTCTGTGGCCCAGATGAGCTCACTCCATCCTGTGGCTGGCAAGACTCTGTCATCTCACTGCAAAAAATACTAGAAAAATAGATTTTAAAAAACGTCTGTAGCATTATGTAAATCAGAGCCCACCTTGCCAGCTGTTTGTGACAAGTGGTCTGCATAATCAGCTGCCCTGGACCAGGTCCTGCAGCAATTCCATCAGGGATTGCTCCTGCTGAGATTAGGCTGGAGGTCTCCAGACTCTCTGCAGCCTCTGAGTTCCATGCTGGGCAGAGATCCCTGTGGAGTTGTGGCACACAGGGAGCAGTGATGTGCCCAGGTGCAGTTCCCCCAGGACTCAGTGAGTAGGGACAGAAGGCCAGTGCACTCTAAAATACACCAAAAAGTGGTGTCCAAGCTATTGAAAAGCTTTGGTATTGTAAAAACAGCCTGGCAGCCCCTCATGCTGCCTCTCAGACCCCCTAGGACTCACACCCCCTGTACAAATAAAGCACATCCATTCCATTAGGTAGGGCTTGCAAGCAATACTTGAGATTTAGCAGATTTTAAATGTTCACTGATAAATTCCAAGGCCATTCCTGTTCCGTGTGGTTGAAGAACTTCTCTACCTGTTTTGAATCTCTAATGTTTTATGAAAAACCTGGAAGTCCTGCAGTTAGCACACAGCTGCTTAGGTGGGGCTGTTTGAACAAAAAGTTTCATGGCTATTTTGGGACTTTTAAATCCTAAGGAAAGCCTGCTTCTAGTTGCTGACTACTCTGTAGCTTTTCGCTTCTTTTAACCTTGGAGCCTTGTCTGGGGCTGTTTCAGTAACTACCTTCTGGTTCTATTTTATTGTGCAATGCTGGTGTTTTAAGCATTTTGTTTAGAAGAGTTCTCACATGTTATGGAACGAAATCTGGCAGTAAGAAAAAAAAGAAGAAAGAAAAAAAAAATAAAAAAGCAGCACTGTGATCCAGGTTACCACAATCTCCTCACAAGGAATTCCCAGGTAGAGGGGTTGGGGTTTTTGGTGAGGGAATGCTTTTTGTAGTGTTTTCTTTTAGGGAAAACTGACAGAACTGCACAGAAAGGGACCACTGGGTGAGCCACCCTGTCTCCACTGGCAGTAACTCCCAGGCAAGGCTGAGCTGCCCTGGTTCCTCGGGAGCCAGGCTGGATTATCTGTGCTCCCCAGCAGAGCTGTGTTGTGCCAGGGCCAGGACCAGCCTCAGCCCCTGGCTCCCTGCCAGGTCTCCAGTTGAAGCAGGGATAAGTGTTTGGTTCAGGCTATTTGGGATTCAGGTAAAGAGAGCTGCAGGTCCAACCTCTCTCTCCATGAAAGCCTTAACTCTCCCCCTGCCCCGCAGCCTCCCCCTCCCTCTGCCTGGGCCTTACATTAGCCAGGACTATCCTGCCACTACGAGGGGCTGCTCCCAGCTCCTGTTAATTGTAAACGCCTCTGGATTTTCCTGCTCGAAGCCACTGTCTCCCTATAGAGCCCAAGTGCCATCCCTGACAGCCTCTGCTCCTCAGTGCTGTGCTGCTCTCCCCGCATTGTGTCAAGTGCCAGGTGCGAAGCACCCGCTCATCCCATTGGAGACAAACCCTCAGCACCTTCCCCAAAGGGCTCCTGGAAGTGCATACCTGTACCCCTACCCCAGAGGGCTGCTGCAAACAGCCTTTGGGAATGAGAGGAAGAAGACAGCAGAGCAGTGACTCCCAGCCATCTCCCCCTTGGCACACAGTCACAGCCAGGTGTGCTCCAAGGGTGGAAGCTCTCCAAGAACCCAAGCTCATGTCCAGCACTGCTGAGCCACAGTACAGGATTTTAAAAGGTGAAGGGACCAGCTTTTCCCAGGTAACAGACCAACACCTTTCTTTTAGCATTGCTCCTGCCCACGGCTTCAGCAGCATCCTGCATGATCCTTCCCTGCCAAGCCATACAGTGAACTATGCAGTCCTGCTCCTGCTCTGGGCTCAGTGTGCTGGTCCTACAGAGAGTTTTACACGCTCATTAACCCCAGAATTCATAGGTGAGGTTGGAAAGCGTGTCATGCATCGGAGTGAGGCAGGCAGGTGACACCAGGAGTCTCAGGTGGGTGAGCTGGAGGACAGTGACAGCCCAGTCGTGTGACCCAGAGTGGAGAGAGCAGGGGGACAGCAATGCAGATAATCCTCTGATCAAGTGCAGTTGTGCTCAGGCTCAGTAATTCCTTGCCTGCCCACATCCCCACGAGGTGACAGCAGCTCTGTTCCTCAGCAGTTCCCTCACACGGACACTGTCTGCATCTTGAGCTGCCACTCCCTCTGTTTCCAGAAGAGGGGCTCCCAGTGCATGCAGGAGGCTCCAGGAGTGTGCTCCGGCTCTGGATTTTCACCTCTGCTTTGGAGCAGGACGTGACCCACGGGAGACCTTCCTTGGGAAGGGGAGTGCAGCCGTAGGTGAGTAATGAGGACTTGGCCCCTATGAAGTCTTAAGGAAAGCATTAATTTCTGATTTTTGCAGAGTTTTATCAGGTGATATCTATATGCATCTCTGAGAACACCCCCACAACTTTGTGCCTATGTCTTGCAGTGATCCCCCGCCCCTGCTCACCGCTGGGGGATCAGTGAGGATTGCACAGTGGTAGTAAGTTGCTACACAAAACCAAAACCGACTTGAAAACGTTCTGTTCCTCTTTGAGCCCAGAAGGGACAGAACCTCAAGTGTGCTCTGCCATCCCCCGGGCTGGTGGCAGGGCATTGACTCAAGTGGTGTGTTAAATGTCAGGAAATTGGGTGGGAAATCGGGTGAGAAGTTGTTTTCCCTCCTTAGGTTGTGGCGGCTTAGGCATGTTGCTGTTTCGCGGAGCCCTGTGAAGGGCACGGTGTGTGTGAGCAAACCGCGGTTCCTCCTGTGCGCTGAGCCCTGCCGCGTCCAGCGGGGGGAGGGAGCGGCGACACAAGGGTTGTTTTGCCGTTCATTTTCCTGCTGTAGAAGACTTGATTTTTTTTCTTTCCCTGAGCCGCATGAGAGAAACATCCCAGAAAGTCTTGGGTTACCTTTGGAGTTCCCTTCACTTTAATTTATAGAGTGTCTTTTTTTGTGAACTGGTGTAAAATGTATATGCCGACAAGCTCATGTATTTTTATGTAAATATTTTTTGTGGTTTCCCTACTTGCCCTTCTCTGTAAATATTTAGAATTCTCATATTCTTCTCACCTTGTATGATGCAGATGTGGTTTTGTTTCTGTTTTTTATTTGTACTGTAATGCAACAATCCAGACTGAGGTGTCTTGTGGTATTAAACAAAAGCAACAGTCCCACTGAGCTCACACTCAGATGTGCAACTTGACAGCATTAATCAAGCCAGGTTAAAAACTACTCAGGTGTGCCTGTGTGTATTTTTTCCTCTGCCTCGTTAATGAACAGCGTATTTAAAAAACAAAACAGGAAGAGCCAGCTTGGGGCCGTGCCTTGCAGGGAGGGATGCTGGCAGGCAGCTAAGGATGGAGGAGGTGACTTTGATTTGCCATGCCAAGGCTTGGCCTTATCTGTGCCATTCCACCTGTGCCCATTGCTGCTTCCTAACAATAAATAAACCTGCCTGGGCTGTTTGAGTGCCCCTTTCCTCTCACCCAGCACGACAGCACAAGCAGAAACAGCCTGGCCCTGGCACTGAAGGCACAGGGCAGATGAAGTCAGGACAAACAGATGGCACAGGCCACCTCTGAGTTGGCTGGGAGGGATTCTGGGCACCACAGTAATACTGCTCATAGTTAATTAATAGCAAAAAGATTATTAAAGGAAGTGAATTTCAAACATTTTTAACCCTAAGGATCTCTCACAGTCTTTTCATCCAGTAAATAATATCGAGTTTAGACCTGCTGCCAGGAATCCTTCTCTGCATGGAGGACAGGTGACCCCACTGCTCATGGACCTGTGGGCTGGCTCCTGCTGTGCAGCCCAGCTCTGCCCAGAGGCTTTGTGTGACTGCAGAGGGGCTGCATCAGGCCTTTGGAAACCTTTGCCTCATCTGCTCCCAAATCCTCACTCCAGTCCAGATCTGCTTATTGCACATCCAAACTCGGTGCTGCTGTCCTTGCAAGGTCCCTCCAGCAACCCATCCCAAGATCTGCGGGCTGGGGGTTCCACACACCAGGAGAGGGCTCGGGGTGTTCCTGCAGCGCCGGGAGCAGCCCAGTTACCCCCAGTTCTCCAGCCGCTGCTGTAAGGACAAACAGGATGGACACTCCATCCCTCTCTGACAGCCTGTCCCGAGCAGCTGAGGTTTGTGGGCAGAGCAGGTTGAGGAAAAGGGAAAATGAAGGGTTTAAATTGTGCCAAAGGAGTGGCAGAAGCCGGGGCGCAGAATCGCTTTTCCTCCCGAGCAGTTTCCAGCAGGCAGCGCTGTGAGACCGCCTTTGCTCTCAAACCCGACCTGCCACTGAAACAGATGATGCTGTTCCTTTCTAGCAGTTTCTGCTCGGCTTTCCAACTCCTTGTGTCTAAGGATGGGTTTCCTTTTAATTTTTTCGTATTAGAAGGGATTTGCAGAGTGGTCAATGCCGGCAGCATCCTAAGGCAATCCTGAGGAGCAGCCCCACTGCCCCCACACCTGAGCATCCCCACCGGGAGGTGACCTGCGGACCTCGGCAGGGAAGCCACTAAATTCCACTAAGCTCCACGGCCCCATCCTTAAGGAACACAACAATATGTTCACTTCTACACTAAAAGTCATCCAAAACCAGCAACTGAT